TTCCAAACAAGCAGAACACAAGAGAAATTAAAACTGCTTCCTGTGAATGAACCAGCTCCAAGCAGCCTGAAGCCAGAAGAGTTTTACCTGGTCACGGATGATCCTCCTGTCTCATGGAGACACGTCACAGGAAGCTGAGGAAACACCAACAACAGGAAGCTGGAGCACAGGTGAGCGAGCGCTTTTATTTGAAGGTGTAATGATCGTGAAGTAGGCGGGGCTTAGCCGTGAGATTTAAAGTGATTCACCCCCCCAACTCCTGTTCACAACTGGATGTCTGAGGTTCAAAATACACTGGTTATCAATGAATATTTAGTGAAATAAGTTGAGCTGGAAGATAGAGCATGTACCTGAACAGTCCTGCACATGATTAGCTAGTTCTTATAGTGGAAATATAAAAGGAAATTGAAGGAGTCTGATATATACGTTGGCAGAGAAAGCTCAACACACACATGCAAATAGAAAGAAACATGCAAATTGAGAAAACAACAATTTGACGACACATGCGCTGCAAAGACACACAGGCAAATACCGAAAAGCACTGCAAATTCCAAAACCAACAACGAAATAAATAAACTTTATAAGCCAATTATTCTCATTCTCACATTCGACATAGAGACAGTGGTGCTTTACTGCAGAATCATGTGATGTTAAACAGGTTTCCTTGGTCACAGGGTCATGAGATAATCACACAACAATGTCATGAGAAACTGCTTCATAAACATTTAGGAACAATGAATTCATTCTTACTCACATAAAGACAGATTTGATTTTCTTTCTCTTTCCCCTTCTCTGATTCACCAGACGTTTGAGGCCTATTAAGATATCAATAAACCGTTACTGACATCATATGTGTCCTTTGGCCGCTGATACTACCCACAAAGACTATTTTAACTATGACAATTACTCTAACCTTTACCGTAAACCTAGTGTTAAACTCAATCTGGATCCCAAGCGGTGAAGCAGGCCTTTTGAAGAAGTAACTGCACAACATGTCTGCAAAGAGAAACTCAAACACTTGGTCCTCACAGAGATAAACAAACGCACAAACACTCAAACGGAGACAAAGGACACGACACCACCTCCTGTGAATCTTGAAGATTGTAGCCACTCGGTGAGTCACCGCTCAATACTGGAACGGAAAACTGTAAATCACTGAAGCAATTTCACCTTTAGGTGCACACGGATCTGTTTATAGCTGCAATCAGCAGTAATATGTGGTCGCCTCTGCTGCAGAATCCTGCGCTCTGTGAAAATAGCTCCATCTTTTCTGCAGATACTGGAGCCTTTTATTGTTTCTGTGGTCTGGAGACTGTTTTCTTCTTCTTTATTTGAGAGGACTGCATCAGATTTGACGTTATATCATTAATGACGAAAACAGACTCTAGTAACATACTTGGTATTTCTGGGTTACAATTTGAAGGATTTCTAAATAATATGATGCAACTGAGGGAAATAAAATGCATTTCAAGTCTGGTAACCAATAAATGACATTGGAACTTGAATGTTCCCTGCTGTTAAAAGAAAATCTTCAGACCCCAGCTCGTCCACATCTGTCAGTGGAGGGCCCAGAGGTCATACCCTTGTCGCTGCGTAGTCAGTGACCCATCGGAGGGCGCCAGCTGCTTCCTGCTCTCTATTGGTTGGTTTCCTTAGTGAACTCCAGTCTCTTCAGAAACTGTGATGCTGGGAAATGCTTTAAATGCTTACAAGAGCAAACTGACCAGCACATCATAAACACATAAGAGGGTAATTATAGCAACTACCAGCATCTGCGTCCAAAACATGTTCATGCTTTAGTTCACTTGCCTGTAGATTCCCACATTCATGCAAATCTCTAATCCACATCCCTAACCTCCAGGCTCCATGTGATTCAGTCTCTATGAACATGTATATTAGTTGAGCAGTGGCTCTGGATGTACAGCCTGTACATGGAGTCTGCCTCCCGAACCCAAAATGGTAGTATTTGATGATATAAAAACAGGTCCGTCATGATTGACATCTCGTCAGTGGTCGAGTGCCGGTATCAGCGGGACCTTGATACCGCTGCCTCACATAATGATCACTACGGACACTAAGGGTGAAAGTACTGAAGCATGTTTAATTTCATAAACGCCATGAACATAATAATTTCCAAATATTAGAAATATTAGGTGAACATTGACTGATCATAACTTGTCAATAGATTTTCTGTTTGGAGGATTATTAGCTGCCCACATATTTATTTTTACACATACTGCTGGTTTACAAGCTATTTCATAGCTAAAAACACTTTGATACATGGACCCCAAACGCCTCCTCCATTGGAAAACGTTTAAAAACGTTCACACTCGTCAGTCAGAAATTAGGACTTTTGTTCCTCGCCTCCTGCACAGTTCATGATACATGGTTTACATCCAAAAGAAATGTAAGTCTGTTTTCATTGTTCTGTGTGTTTGCTTGGGCTGTTCAGGGGCTGAGGACCTGCTTCCTGCCAGGATGGAAATACAACCCAATGAGTTACTAATGAGATTATGACACGCATCTTAAAAATGGATTCTGGGTCAGATTGGTCACAGTTGTAGGAGGAATAAGCAGCTCACCATGCAGCTAGCAGCAATAACATATGGATGAACGTGCATATATTATGTAGGAATGAAGGATTTATGTAAGGTTGAATAATATTTTGCACAAACCACTTAAATAAGTCTTCTTGGTGCATTTTATGTTCAAATCCAAGTGGGTTTTAGATATACCTGTAAAATGTAACACTGCAGCTTGTTTGTGGAATTTGTTCTGAATGTCATCCTGAAAAGGAATTCAGATCAACATCAAATCACATTCAATTGACTGAATGACTTTTTGAGTTTGAACTTCTGAATTTGCAGGTTACACCATCAGAGTTTGATTGCTGAGTCTCTACATGCTCTTCAATTCCAACTTAAAGCTGCTATAATCAAAAATCAGTAATGGCTCAAATTACTACTTGTGTAAAAAGGTTGGGTGTAGTGACTAATTTCCACTTCCTCTCACTGTCCAGAATCGAAAACAAAATAACCAGCACTACCTTTTTGTGCATGTGGAGTCTGCACAGTAGCGATGGAGGGATGAAGCCCTGGAATCGAAGTCCAACCGATACACCCACTCAACTGAGTTAGTGTGATGAGAACTACCTAAAATTGAACAAATCATCATGACAAAAACGTATTTGGCATGTCCATGTCCCAACTGATAACATGGAAGAGATAGGTTTGTGACCTAAACTGCAGCCAGCCACCAGGGGGCAATCAAGATGATTTGGCTGTTATGTGGTCCATCTTTAAATACAGTCTATGGTGTGCACACAACCATAACTTGTACGTAACATGTATGTGTTGAGTTGTTTGTCGTATGTATCTGCTCTCAGGTCTAAGGAGGATTTCTGCATCTTTCAGCTCAGTGTCTTTCAGTGACTCTCATCAGCATCGTTTCCAGATGCTTGTCCAGCAGCAAACGTCAGAGAATTAACAACCAACACAGTGGAGGATTTATCGGCAAAGCAGACAGATATTTTCCTCAGGAGTTAGTGGAGAAAATCCCATTTCATCAGCTTTATGGAGGTGAACCGTTGGCTCCATCTTTACCTCTGCTGCCGAACGACTTTCAGGCCAGAGACGAATCTGAATGTGAAAATAACAGCACAGCTCTTGTTCATGTCCGGAGGTGTTTCTCTATCTTTACCTGGTAATAAATCACTGTCATAATCAGGTGAGCTTCTGATAATGGCAGTGTGGCCTCTGGTGAGCTTCTATATATAGACCTATAGCTGAGGTGACTAGTGAAGCATAGAGGGCGAGAGACACTGTTCCCCCAGAGAGAGAGAGAGAGAGAGCTTTGTCCTTTCTCTCTCCTCAAGAACACAGAGGTTTAAACGTTTGAACTCACTTTTGCACACACATGCACTGAAACACAATGTAGTCTTCCTTTGCATACACCTTGCACATTTAATGTATGTTACTCAAATATATTATTTTTCCTTCGAGCTCAGTTTCTGTCTCCCTCGTCTCTCTCACACATGCACATTATCTTGTATAACACAGTGTGCATGTGTCCGCCCACAACAACAGGTCGTAAATACAGGGTTCCTCCTGATGTGCAGGGTAATAATGGAAAGGAGACGCCGGCACACTGTTAAAGATAAGTGCACGAGCGCACACACATAGGGCACTGATTGAAATACATGCACACACACTGCACAGCTCTGAGAGTCCACAGCAGGACAAAGTGAAGAGTGAAGAAGGTGACTTTGTGTTGGCAGTGTCCCAGATGCTTTTCATTCTCCGTCTGCTCATGTGTGTCTGAGGTACAGAAGATATGCTGCCCCTCTAATGTCGATGTGACGCCTGCTCTCAGTGTGCCATTAAAACCCTGATGAAGGCACAATGTCACTCTCTCCTAAAGTCAAAGTGTGGTGGTGAAGAGCCGAAAAAGGCTTTGGAGAGAAGTTCAACCCAAACCTCTAGCGCCTCACCACCATTGCTACATTGTCAATTCTGAACATTTGCAGCATCTGTCATCATTTTGGTGTTTTTTGTTTTATCTAACGAGTTATAGCAGCACTATTGTAATGTGTTACCTAATTAAAATGAGTGCGATGTTTGAGTGACTGTGAATATGGAGAATGTTTCCTCTTTCATTCCCACTTCTCACCCTGAATGTTTGTTCTTTGTTACTTGTAACTTTGGTGAGTGGGTTCGATCTTCTATGAGAAGAGTAAAGCTGAAATGTTGATCAGTTAAAATGATTAAGAAGTTTTTAAAAACCAGAGTTTGTCTCCAATATTCAGCAGGAAACCTTTAAAATATGAAGAATTCTCAACAGAGTTTGGTGGATTTGTTGCAGCAGCAGCTCTTCTGGTTCAGGAAGCAGAGGATCAGACCTGATGGAAACGTCTCTCTGTCCTTCTTCAATGTTGCAGATGCTAAACAAACAAAACAGGACAGGATGGGAAGTTTCAGATGCATAATTTATTTCTCAGACACTGTCGATCAACTAATGCACATTATGAAGCCTGGTACCTTCTCTCTGAGACATACATACAGACCCACAAGAAAAGCAGCGGCACACACAGAGCAGCGTTTAGGGCAAAACCTGACGAGCTGGAAGTGTCCAAAAACCAAAAATACCCTGAACACAGATACGCTCTCATGCCGAGACAACATTGAAAAACATTCTCATCCCTCTGATGTAATAGTTGGCAGGTGGAACTGCAACGTGGAGACTTGTCTATCACCATGAAATAATAATACTGCACACAAGGAAAGTAAGTACAGTATGTCAGTATGTCTGATCACATGAAGGACTCTTATAATGTGGAAAATGTTTACATTTGGTTTACTTGAATAGCTGAAGATGCTTCTGCTCTCACTGCTGTTTCCAGTCTGCACTTCTTAAAGTGACATCTTTTCTTTCTTTGTCTTCAGTATTTGATATAGAAGCAGCTATTAAAGGTCCAGTGTGTAGGATTTATTTATTCTTTTGATGAGCATTTAATCACATGCAAAGATAAGGACACTTGCACACTTTGTTTGATCCAAACCTAGAGAATTTACAGTTTAGTCCGAACTAAGATAACCACATCCAGACCAATGGACTAAATTTTTTTCCAACCAAAAGAGGTGCTCCCGCTCTGGATCAAATCGAACCATGGTTTGCGTCTTTTGCAGTGAATGTTCCAAACCAGCATGGACGGACTTTCACACTGAGCTGAATTCAGTCAATGGTTTTGATTTTAATTTGTCTTAACAAGAAAGAAATAGAAAACAACATGGCTCACATTAAGTTAGAAACACAATTTCAATCTATCACAGTTTACGAGCTGAGGTACTTCACACGGCCTCACTGTTTCCTTCAACAACTAACGTAACAGTAAAGACATTTCCAACAAGCATTACAAATTGTTTTGACCAGGAATCTGTTATTTCATTACACCTCTGTTCTTCTTGCATATTCCAAAGTGGCAGCTGTAGGTGTCAAACCCCATACAATTATATTTGCACTTTGTCCAGATGGATGTCCAAACAGTCTGAATATAAAGGTGTCTTCCTGTCAGTGCTCACCCATGCAGAAGGTGTCTGTTTAAATAATTCCACTCAAATATCAGAGGATGTCCTCTCGGGTATGAATGAATCCTGGCACAGTGATAAAATTTGCTTTATTAGCCACACCCCCAACATGGCTGTAGGGCTGTCAGCTGGTCTGTCATTCTGTTGCTCCAATGCTGAACCAGTTCAACATCCACTGGATGGATTGGCATGAAAAGTGTTGCAGACATTTATGGTGCACTGAGGCTGAATCCTCAGGACATTTGTGGGCCCCTGACTTTTCATACTGCGTCACCAGCAGACAAGAAATTCCTTTGGTGCAACGCTGCATGAGTTTTCCAATGTCTGAATCCTTGGCAGCCTTCAGCTGTTTTGAGATTAATGATGACACAGCATGTTGATATGATGACATCAGCATGCAGCACAGCCGTGCACAGGTAACGTAATTCAGGCCTTGTCGACACTACTGCAGATATTTTTTTGAAAAAAAAATAGAAATGAATCTGTCCAATTTTATTAAATATCCAGACATGAACGCAAAAACGACTACAAATGCTCAAAGTTGCATGCTGGGCCAGTAGGTGGCGATAAAGCCTACATCAACGATCAGTCAAATACCAGTGAAGAACATTGTGAGCATGCTCAAGATGCCTGTGAATGAAATGTGTTAAATATGTCGCCATTGTCATTGTTGCTTTTTAACAGTTGGCATGCGTGAAGTGAACTGTGATGTCATCGTTTTGGAAACACACAGCTACATGGAAAGCAGAGTTTTGGAAAATCTGCATGTTTGTGGGGGTGGCTATGGCTGAGGGGTAGAGCGGTCATCCGCAAGAAGCTGAACCCCAAATTGCCCCATAGAACAACAATAAAAGTGCTACTCTAGATGCACTATATGTATGAATGTGTGTGTGCGAATGGGTGAATGGCAAACTGTAGTGTAAAGCGCTTTGAGTGGTCTTCAAGACTAGAAAAGCTCTATATAAATACAACCGTTTATTTGTAAATATCTGGATGTTTGGTGTGGACATGAAGCTCAAACACAGAGGAACAAGTTTGTTTTGCAAAATATCCGCATTAGTGTGAACAGGGTATTAAACCAAGGCATCGATGTAGAACTGACGAGCTGTCAGTCAGAGATACCTTTTATGGCCACTGTAGAAATGACAAACCTTCAGGTCTTCAATTTAACAATTGCAAAGCAATTTCCTAATTTTTCTTTGCCCAAACTATTTTTGTTTTCTGGTGTATTCATTTCCACTGCACTGGCAGTACATTTGCATTGTGCTCCATACATTTCGAATCCAGCATATCCAGCACCTATCCCACTGAGGCTCTGCACATGAACTCCCCTCATAATTGGCGTAAGCATTTTGCAGGGGCTGCTACCATGGCTACAGACTGTGCGTCCTGTTTACTTCATCAGTGCCAATGAGTGGAAACATTGACTCTAAGGATCTACAGCCATGAGTGTGTCTGATTCAAACTTGTCAGACCAGAAGAAATCAGGTGTACTGCAGGAACTACCTCCTCCCACTGACCTGCACAGTTTGAACCTGCTACTTCCTGTTGCAGTTACAAGTCACTTCCTGACACTGAGGATGGTCATCTGTAGACACTCTTCCTTCAGAGCCACCAGCTCTGTCTTGTAGCTGCTCGTCTTGCCACCGTCAGCATACACACAAGGCTGCTTCTTCGCCGATAGTGGCGTTTCCATTGTAACCGAACCAGCATTCAGCATGTCGACGTGCGATGGTGAGGAAGAGGAGCCTTTGTGGCAGGCCACAGAGATTAGTGTTGAGAGGGCTCGTCCGACATCGTGCCGCGCGCCCTCATTGACGAAACAGTACAGAATGGGGTCAGCGACACAGTTTAAGCTCGTCAGTGCTAACGACACGTGGTACGCTGCAAACAAGCTCTCCTCAGAGCCACAGTCACACGGCTTCCTCAGAAACATGACGCTCCGCACCAGGAGGAGGATGTGGTACGGTCCAAAGCAGAGCAAAACAATCAGGATCAAACTCAGAGCCAAGCGCTGAATTTTTGCCTTTTCCTGGCGTTCAGTTGAGACATTGCAGCGCACTGCTGCAAGGATCCCTCTGTAGGCGACCAGCATGGCTGTCCAGGGCGCAAGGAAGCCCAGAAACGTCCTGTAGAGGTTCATCCCTGCAACCCAGTCCTGCATGGGATACTTCTCAAAGCAGAAGGTGTGGTTGAAGCGATCCTGGAAGAGCTCATCGTGGAAGAGAGGAGCAGAGTTGGCGACAATCTCAATGATCCACACCATGGCGCTGACCAGGACAGCTGCAGCAAGAGACAACATTAAACATTAGACTTTGATTCTATTTAGCCTGTGTGAAATCTGTACAGGAAGAAAATATGGTTTTACGGACACAAGAAAAGCTGCATTCATCAACCTAAGAAACCATGAACATACTCTCAAATTAAACCTCACTGTCCTCAAGATCATTTTCCCATCAGAAACGCTTTGGCAGTTGGATAAAAAAGAATTTGATTTCCGCTACTGCCCTGTTTATAAAATAGGCTAAAGGTGCATGTCATTAGATGTTATTAAAAGTAATGACTTCAGCAGGCAAGCTTGTTAAATAAGTATTTATTTATTAAAACATCTTCTGACATTTAAGTGATCTTATCTCTGCACCAAGTGAATTTCCTGTTACATCAGATTTAGCAGATGTTAAGATGCACATCCCCTCCAGGCTTGGCAGGAGCATCGTTCTGGGACCTAATCATCAAATTGAAATATTTTAATCATTTGAAAACAAGACGGGATGCAGGGTCTGATTTGAAACTACTGACTCTTGCATGATTGGAAAATCCCTTTTTTTCTCCAGTTTTATTTTAGATTAGAAAATTAGTGTCAAGGGATAAAACCGTTGAGATGTTTTATCTGGTTTTCGAGGGGGTCCCAAACACTTCATTATCTCAGAAAACCCTGAATCGACCGTTCTTTTAACTAGAAGTATGAGAAATGATCACATCATTCTTGTTTGACTGTTTTACTGGATCCCTGTTTGTTTTAGGATTAACTGTAAAATGTTACTGATTTCTTTTAAGGCTCTTCATCGTAGCCAGACAGAACGTTTACCATCAGGGTCCCTTATTTTCCTCACTGGGTTTTATTTTAAAGACATAGATCATCTTCACCCGGCATGTACCTGTTTTGATCCGTCGAACCTTGGCAAATCGCAGAGGGTACGCCACCGCCAGGTACCTGTCCAGCGAGATACAGCAGAGGAAGGCAATGCTGACGTAGATGTTGGTGTAGAAGATGAAGCCGAACAGCTTGCAGCTCTCCTGACCGTGGATCCAATCATCGTGCTGCAGAAAGTAGTCGATCCACAGAGGCAGAGTGGTGATGTAGAGGAGGTCAGCCACCGACAGGTTGATCAGGTAGATGCCCAGCTCGTTACGTTGGCGCACCTGGAGGGAAGAAAGTAAATGAGAAGAAAGCAGGATGGGAGAAAGTATTTTATTTTGTTCAGGGCTCTGAAAGGTATAACAAGAAATTTGTTTTTAATCTCAACTGAATCTTTTCCTGGTTAAATAAAGGTTAATAATAATGATAATAAGATATTATTTAGTGTTTCCTTTTTATGCAAAGGTTTGAAGCAAAAGAGCAATTGAAATGCCAAGTATTTTGATAAACTCTTTATACTTCCTGAATGTGAAAATCATAGACTGTAAATAAAAATGGATGACATGAGTTCCCAAATGCCAAATTTGCCCCCTGGTGGCTGGCTGCTGTATAGATCATAACTCCTCCATGTTAGCAGATGGTAGGACCAAACCAAAAAGTAAAAGGATATGATACATCATTTGTTATCATAGATGATTTACATCATTTAGTTTTTTGTTCAAGTTTGGTTTAAATTACTTATTTGATTATTTGCTGATGAGAATCATGCTGATTGGTGGGGGTCCTTGATAAAATGTCGAAGTTATAAAACAGGTACATTGAGCCAGCCACTTCTATAATGCCGTTATCACAAGTAAATAGTAACTTGTTATACCGTGATACTTGTGACACTGACAGCGATATTCCTTTAAAAACAAATGTGTAAGGTTATATGACCACATCGAGGACTTGTAAATAAAAGAGGTGGGCGGATATTTTGAAGGAATCAGTTCCAGCTTTTCTGATGATTTGTCAGCACTAAACTCTGCAGCCACATAGAGACAGCTCAGTTTCCCATGATGCATTGATATAACAATGCTAATATTTAGGCAGAGCTGCCCTGATAAATAAACAGCACGCCAATAATGTTCATGTTCTGGATTCAGTTCAGGTAGGTTCTCAGGAATCAGATCAATGTTGTAAGCACTGGAGGGTTTTCTGTTACTACGATAACCAGAATGCACCTGTGATACGGTTCACCAATGCTTGTGTTTTTGTTTGAACAGTTGTTGAAAGTTTAGAAAATGATATTGACGCTCAGATGGAAACTAAACAATAATCTAATGTTGAAATGTCGTAATGAAAAAATATGAGTTAGTGAACTTGTTGGAATACAAAGTCAAAGTTTTCTGCCAAAGCAAACTGACGCTCTGTGGGAAACAGTGTGTCTGGTGCTTTATGGGAAAATATCCTTCATGCTCTGTTGGCTCTGATGAGGAGGCCATAATGGACATGGTACTTTGGAAAAAGAGAAATTGAGAAGTATTGCTTTGCATGCATGACTATATATGACTTTCCTACCCGAAACAACAATTTGTCTAATGAGCAGCAGCAGACCGACAACAATGACAAGTATGGGAGGGGTGATGCAGACCAGTCAGGTATTTTTATATTGTAGTCCTGCAATTTTATAACGGCTGTGGAACTTCATTATCCCATCATATATACTTTTTTTTTAATCTATATGAGCTTTTTAGTCACATTCACATTTTTTTATTATGTAGCTTAGACATAATTCATTCTTTATCTTGTCCCATGACACTTTGGAATGCAGACCAAAGGAGCTGGGCATCGAACCATGACCCTCTGGTTAGTGGATAACCCACATTGGTATCTGGGATATTATAGCGTCATTTTGTTTAACTTCATTTTATTTTATTAATCTCTATTTTACAGCCTATGGTTTGACACTGTATTTGTGGAAGAGCTTACTGGTTAGATGTGCGTGTGTGTGTGTGTGTGTGTGTGTGTGTCCTCCTCACCTGCATGTAGGCCGCCCACAGAGCCATGCAGTTAGTGGGCAGCCCCAGGACGATGACTATGATGTAGAGCGTGGGCTGGAAGAACTGGTCCACCTTACTGTCCACATTACAGAACGAGATGTTGCACATTGTCCTGCGTGGAACAGTGTGTGTGCGTGTGTGTGTGTGTGTGTGTGTGTGTGGGACGTGTGCTCAGCTGCTCTCAGCTCTGAGTGTCTCTCTGCAGTTTCACTATATTCCAGCTCCAGCAGTTTGACAGTGACATGGCAACTGTGGCGTCCTCCTCGCCGACCACACGGCCATCTAAGATGGAGTGACAGGAGAAAACAGAGCTGTCACTCCCAGGGCATCTCATAGTTTCTGAGAGGACTGTCCTTCTTGACCTGAAGCTTTCCTCAGTGTGATGAAGAAGAGGAGAAGGAAGGAAGGAGGGATAAAATGTGCTGAAACGAAAGCTGCCTTATCAACGCTGTGCCAGGCCTCCAGTGCCTGGACGGGTCCTCATCAATCTTTTAGAGATTAGAGGTCTGCTAGAGAGTGTGTGTGTGTATGTGTGTGTGTGTGTGTGTGGGGGGGGTCAAGGTCCCAGTGACACACTAAACTCCTGAGAGATGCTCGTACTCAAACACCGGAATGACTTCACAGAGCTGCAGCACTTGGCAGGAGACAGGTTGTCCATTAGCTCTAAGCCTCCAAACATCTGCAAGACACAGAGACAGAGACACTCTTCATTTATGATTCTTTCCAATTCACACAAAACAACAAGCAAAACACGTCTTAGGAAGTCATGTTTTCAGCCCTGTCTCTTTGTTTGTTTTTCAGCAGGATGACACAAAACATATTAAATGGATTAACACACAAAAAAATTAAATTAAATCACTTTCATTAATATTGTGAGATAGAACACTTTTTTTGTTCAGTTTCTTTGCTTTATATTTGTCTCAGATTTTACAGGGAAAAGTTCATCACTAATATTTATGAGTGTGTGAGATTTGGTGCAGATTCAAATTAGACACAAAGATGGATGGACTGACACAGAAAAGGCAGAAAGAGGCAGCAGATACAGTGGATCAGCAGTGGGAGCTCATTTATCTGAGTGACGCACAGAGACTCTCAACCATCTGGTCCGATAACACAGAACATGCTGACACTTCGCTCAAGCACAGGCAGACAAACGCAGACTCCAGGACATACGATAAGCATAATGTAAGCCTGCATATAAACATGACCTGAATACACATGTACAGCACATAGAGAGAGAGAGAGCGATAATACATTTGTTTACTCCTCAACGTCTCACCTTCCAGCCTGAGCTCAGCTTCTGTTTATATGTCTTATACCTTGATGTTTTTTCACATGGTCGACGTGAGTCCGCACATGCTTTCAATCGCTTTGCTCAAATATGTTCTGAAGCGCCGAGAACTGACTCTCACTTTGGTTTATGTGTGTTTCAGCTTCTTGTCATTGCTCTTATAGATTTCAGGAATAGAAGTGAAGGTTTTTTCCATGGTAAAGTTGCGGCCGAGTGTTATTTTACACATTTCAGTGAAAAGTTTATCAGAGGAGAGGTGATGCATTTCCCTGCATGCACATCATATATACTCCAATCAGAAAGTGTGTGATGATGAATGACTGGCTCGTCTAAATTAGCTGTAGGTGCCCTAACCCTCTTATCTAACTGGTTACAAACATTATGTCATGATTCCAACCATATAATGATAAATGATATTAGATCGATATAAGCACACAGTTGTGTTTATACACCTGTAGAATGCAGCAGTACCTTTATCAATAAAAGATTTAGATTGTCTTTCTATTATTTTCACCTTTGAACTTCGACCCATCAGCTCCAAACATTTCTGGAGATACCCCTCCTAATTAACACTCCCAACAAGTTAAGGTGAAAATCCATCTATATATGCATTGTTGAGATATGTGAACAGACTCAGGGAAATCTGGTTGTCAAGACTGGCTGGAGTCAGAGTATTGAGGCCACTTCAAGGGAAAAAAGATTTTGAGAATAAAGTCGTAATATTACAAAATAATTTCAATGAATGAAGCATTGCGTTAGTTCATGCAGGACACGGAGTCATTTTCTCAGCTGTCAGCTACTGATAGGTTATGGGTGCTCATCAGCCACCTACCAATCACAGCTCATTCTCTCACCAAAGCGGTCCCTTTAAATAGGCACTTTGCCTGCTACATCCAACAGGGGGTTCTGCACATGTTCCCTGTTTTATTTTAGCACGCTGCTCGGCTAATCCAGGGAACATCCAAGGAATGGAGCCTTCAACTCCAATCATAACTGTATCCCCATTTGCAAAAAATGGGTTAATCATGACATAGTGTTCCTGACTGAAAAGTCATAGTAATAAGTCTTACTCAGCAGACGTGGGACAAAAAAAAATTCCCCAAATTAGCCACATTTCGACACAAAAACTACAGCATTTCCTAAAAACGGGTGTGCACGTTGAGTCAGAGTTCCACCTTCTGGCTACAAGTCGAAGGAGGAGGCGTCAGAGTCATCTGTCCGCACACAACAAATAAAGATCTGTGACGGAAACAGGTTCAGTTTGTGATAATGTGACAATCACTGGTGTGGAACAGTGACTTTGGGTCGAGGCTACCCACACACACACACACACACACACACGTGAGGGCTAAGTGAGGTCATCTCTCCAGTGACTTGTTAAATCGCTCTTTGTTGGGGAAACACCTGCGTTGATAAGCTGAACCACAGCTGTGATCTGTTTTCACACACATCACCACCACCGTACACACACATCACACCATTCGAGGTCTAATTGACCTAAGTTATGAATTATCTTCCACCCACAATGTATTTTTCTTCCTTTCACTTCCCTCTGAACACAGGCTTGTTGTTGTATCAGCATTCCACATGCTCGCCCGTCAGACCAGAGGTAGAACGTCTTGTTTCTTCGTCACGCTGCTCATAACGCTTTGTTTGCATTGATAGAATTCCACATCCAAACAAGAAAATGATGTTGTCTCAATGAGGAATCTGAGCAGGGGCAAGTTTTTGTTTTTAGCCTTTTAGGGAAACTTCACTCCTCTGAAATGTTTTGGGATCATTTTCAGCATGAAGAGATTTAACTGCTAGGTCATGCTAAGAGTTTCGTTTCAATGTGCATTTGTTTTTATATGTTTATGTTTGTCATTTAGGTGAAGAAATCACATTTTCGTTACTCATTTTAATATTTGTACAGGTGAATGAAATCCTCTCACGTTAGGATCATAATGTCAAAATTGAACAATTCTGATTAAAGTACCGAAGTACTTGTAATCAAGCTTTCATTTAGGGCACAGGGATGAGATTGAAGAAAAGCAAAACTCAAGACAAGACAGGAAAAGAAACACAAATTAAAAGACAGAATGACATAAGAGAAGAAGACAATCTAATCCAAGGCCTGTTTTTTCTCCTGGCTTTAACTATAACTTCATTTATTGCTGTTGGTAGAGCAAGAGCACAGATTTGTCCATGTAAATACATACATGTTTAATCCAATAACTTGGGACATGTATGAACAGAGTTAACACAATAACAGCACTGACACAAACAGAGACAGGTTTGTTTCTCAGTGAGCATCACCTGTGTTTTCTTTATCAGAATGTGGTTTGTTTGATCAGTTGCTGATATTTATTTTTTCATTTGGCGGGCGCTTTTATCCAGAGCGATTTACAAATAGTAAATTCAACATCTATGAGGGGCCAATTAAGGGTTGAGTATCTTGCCCAAGGATACTTCGGCATGCAGATGGTGAAGACTGAGGATCAAACCACTAACCTCAGCAACAGCCGCATATTAATCACACAATGTTTGCATGCGATGGTCACACACATGCAACTGTGTGTGTGAGCGTGTGAGTGTGACCTCCTGGCAAGAACTGATTTCCGTGAAAGTTTGTTTTCTGCAGTCGCTACTTGACGAAATTATACTTCAGAATCAGTTTTTAATGATTTTTCTTTGAGGCATTAAACACAGAATATAATCAGAAATAGCACTTTGAAGAGATTGTGCTGAAGACAAACAAAAGCTGCAAATGGACAGTGGCAGGATGTCAGAGGATAGACGAGAGGAGTTGACTTATTTCTCAACTCAATTCTCAACATTTCCACTTCCACTTATCCTTTAAGGAGCCAATCCCAGCTGACATTGGGCAAGAGGGAGGGTAGATTCTGGATGTGTCAATTCTGAATGAGACAAACTCTTCCCTCTCACATTCACACTTATGGAGAATTTAGAGTTAATGGCAAATTGTATGTATTTATGTAGCTTTCCAGTACAGTTTTGCCTTTCAGCACTTTATCATCCATCAACGATATACTGCTGGTACAGCTGTCAAGTGCAATTTGGGCACGGTGAATAGGGGAGAAGGGGATCGCCCTTCCGACCTTCTGGTTAGTGGACACCCGCTCTCCCTCCTGAGCCACATCTGCCCAGAGTCTCTATTGGCAGAAATCTTATAGAAAATAATCATCATGATGTTTTCACTAGTTTCTACACACTGTCCCTTTAACTGATTCTCCAAAGGTTAATTGAGGAAGCAGAATTTAAAGGAGATAGATGTAAATGACTCACATCCTGAGGTATGAGTAAATATTTCTGTAATGTTTTTGATTTCCATTAATTTGCAGACAAAAGTGTGCTAAAGGCGACAGGATGTGGAAACTCTCTGAGGCCACTGCAGTTATAACAGATGACAGTGTTCCTTCTTTCCTTAACTTCCTTCCATCAGTTAAAGAGCTTTTCTCTTTTCCAAAACATTCCGTTAAGATCTTTTGTTTTACATAAAGAACAGTTCTATAGGGACATAATGTAAAGGTGTCACACCCCAGTTCACAGCTGGAGGGAGGTTCAGGGGGTTTATTAGGGGTTTGAAATGTGTGTGTGTGTGTTTGTGTGAGAGAGAGTGTGTCAGAGTGTGTGTACAATAGAGGCCCATATCAACTTATTCTATAATGTCTGGTGTACAGCAGCAGCGTTTGATCTGCTGCCAGAGAAGATTAGGTCAAGGCGGCCATGAGGACGCCACACTGGCTCTCAGCGGGCGCACACACACGCACACACACGCACACACACACACGCACTCTCTCTCTCCTCGTCCTCCCCTCACAATGTACTTGTCTTCCTTTCACTTCCCTCTGAACTGCCTCTATTGTTCAGACTCTTGGCTTCTTCAAGATAACCAAACTCTAAATATGACACATTTAAACTCAACTACAGCAACAACTAAGAACTTATAGTGAAATAAGACAATATCTAGAGTTGAGCTGTTGGCTTGGTTGTGAGGTAAAAGTAAATCGCGGTAAAGAAAGATGTCACAAGAAGTCATGTGACGTCGGACTAGAGTGTGAGTTATCATCAGATAGCACCAGAATAGAACTTTTTATTCTTCTGCATTGGCAACAGCCAGCGATCAGAGGCTCTATGTATTCAGGTTGTCTGTCTGTCCCATTATTGTCTGTCTGTGAACATGATATCTCAAGAAATTTGGTCACTGTGACCTTACAAACCCCTTTCATGCCTCATGAAAACATTATCTTAAGAATGTCTCTCGAGAATCCTTTCAAATGTAGCACATATGTTCTAACTGATTAGATTATAGTGATCAAGTCAAAGGTCAAGGTCACAGTGACCTGACTAAGATTATATCTTTGGTCCAAGGTCACAATAATCTC